TAGGTATATTTCGAAATTGTCGATATATCTTTAGCAAGGACCCCATTCACCTTTAGTCGCTCCGAGAATAAAATTTTCCGCAAAGTAATGCCTACAAATTTGCATTATTTCATTGAATTTCATTTAGCCTGGTCTTCCTCAGAAACCTTTTTAGCTAAGATCGATCGCATATAAGGATTCGAAATTGAGTTGCAAGTTTCTTGTGGCAACATTTTTACTCCACTTTTGCTCATTTCATTGTGTGAAACCTACTATCATTTCCTATCCTCTTCCTCTTAATCATCATCATCATCATCACCGCCACCATCGTCATCAATCATGCTGTTTAAGTTGAAGCGGGTTTTTTCTCTTAAATAACAGTTAAATTGGTAGGGAAGCAATTAAAGTCTTTAGAGTCTCGCCACTGACGTCTTTCACAACAATGGTAAACATGTGTTGTGGCTATTGATGTACCAATGCTTAGAAAGATAATAATAGCCTGAAAGTGACGAGGTTATAAGACTCAGGTAAGCATAATTTATTGTAGCATAGGCTCGGCACGTCTAGCGAGCGATCTCATCTCCTTGGGGACGCAGATAAGCGTGTAGTTGAGACCAGCTTGGTTCTAGGGAAGCTGTCACAGCATAAATGTTGGTGAGTTTAAGTTGATTAAATATTCATGCATTTCATATGGTTCTCTGGCGCCCTTGAACAGCGAATACGAGCACATCCAATCTAGTGCCTGAGGACATTGTAATTCTCATTTGCCTGGCTGCTTATTTATTTATTTATTAAGTTTCTTGTAGATTTGGGCTGGCATCTATTGTTTTGTTGTTTCGCTAGACCGTCCGCGTGTCTTTCGTCACTTTTGTCCATCCAAGGGTACACTGGTCTGTTTGACTGTCTACTCATTTGTTCGCCCACACAACTGTTCTTCTATCCATCCCTTCAACCCCCCATCTAAGCTTTTTCTCATTTGTTGCGTGCACAAACGGGCTAATTTTAGGCTTTGTACTAGCTTGCTTTTTTTTCTCTGGCTATGGTCATCCCTTCAGGATGGGCTCTCTCGCTCTCGCATTCTCACGGCTCTAGGTTGTCAGGCTAAACTTGTACGCAGACAGGAAAGACAACAGTTACAAAACTCGATCCTCGGGCATCGCTTCGCTACCAAGATCGATTTCAGACTCTGGTGTTCTCACTTTCACGTGATGCAAAAGACGAACATCCTATCAGTGGCTGTCGCAAACTCGTTTAAACTCCTATTAAATACACACTCGAGTCTGGAACTTCATGCTTTGGATACTACCTGAATCGTGGATGAACTAGAAGAAATGCCACTCTTCAAATCACTTTACTCTTACCTGCCAAGTAGTAAGGTGCTGTCTAACAATATTAACGTCATAATGAATATACAGTGAATTGAGAAATGCCAATAATTTCATCTTCTAGGACAGTTTACGCAAATGTGCTTTCCATCGGATACAATAGGCCAAATTCCCGATACTTTCTCACACCCAATTAAGAAGATTTCTTCACTGAGCTTTGTATACCATGTCCGGTTCTTATCCCATTCATCTCTTTCCAATAAGGAGTAAACAAAGCCATTATGCTACAGCTCACACCCTCACTCCCCACCTCAGTGGCCTCCTTTCTTTTCTCCTTTTATTACGGTTGCCATAACCGATAAACCTGAAGCCATAACAACGGTCGAATGGCCTGTCTGCGTATTGGTAACTGATGAAATGTGGACTTTCAATGCCATTGGGCCCATTAGCTCAGTTGGCCGGGAAATGTGTGGCCGCCCGCGTCAAAGAGTCTCTTTCCTCTGTCTTTTAGCTCTCGCCCGTCATTGCCTTGTCTTAGATCCAGCCACGGATGCAATAGGCCAAGCTTCTTGGGTGAGGATTTTGTGGTTATGACTGTGGGCGTGGACTAATGCGTGTGTGTATATATGCATTTGTATATGTATGTGTGTAGGACTGTGGATCGAGAGATGAGAGTGTAGTGTGAAGAGATGTGTAGAGTAGGGCATTGCGTTTCCTGTTTCAATCTCTTCGGGGAGCACAATAAATCCAATGAGTCAGTCATACATGACTGCCCCGACTGGCCTGTCGAGGCATTTGGTATCAACACTGTGCATAGAATGGAACTGAAGGGGGTCAGGAATAGTTGGTGCAAAAGGATAAGAAGAATGCCTCCACCTGAAAGGGGTCTATATGAAAGGGTTGGGGCGAGCCAGTTGTCATAGCAATCGTTCTCTCTTAACGCATTTGACATATTCACATTGCCCATTGCTGGCGTGCATTTCGCGTAATTCACATATTATGGCTTTCTCCACCTTGGAAAACACCTCTGCCACAATCTGGGTCTTGTAGATCTTGACCTCAGGCCTGCTCACCAGAGAAGTAGAGACTTAAATTATTTTCCTCCAGCTCCCATGCCCACGTGTATTGACATTTAGGCACGGGCTAGCATAAAAATAACTAGGAAATGATTTATATTATGTATAATTGAGTATATATTGCTTAGGGTCATATTTATTTGGTCATTTGTCTGTCGAGTCTAGGAGAATGTGTTCCCTCACGCAAGTATATAATTGCTTGTGTGTGTTTATGAGTGTGTATGTGCACACAGGAAGAAGAATATCGAATAAATTGATCTCCAAGCAGCCGATTGTACCATCGTCGAAAATGTTTTTATGATAACCAGCGAGCTATGCATAAATCTGAAAGCACGTTTTCTGGGTTCGAGTCTACTTATTGTTTTCTGGGATGCATTCACCCTATTTCGTTTAAGGTGAATAAAGACTGGTAGTTGAATTCCTCAACAATGATATGAGCAGAGAAGACGTTTCTGTTGAATTTCATATAGTCTTGCTTTCACAAAAATTGTTCTCATCCGAGGTGGACTGCAGTTTAGGCCTCGCCTAAGTCTTATCGACACCCCCAGCAGGAGTCGAACCACGACAGTGCAGCGTTTAATCTCGATACGTAAACCACTCCGCCACATTGTCGCGAGTACCATTGGGCCGCAGAGTAGATGAACATTTCAAGGAAGGCCAGGCTATTTTACATATTCTATTCTGTGGTGGGATTGTCGATGAAGCAAAATTGTATTTGAAGCTATGAAGACCAAAATGTTGTGGCCTCTGGTGTGGACTAATGAGGAGCATGATCATCCGAAGCCTACGCCTAACGGATGTAGAATTCTGGGACGAGGAGCTGGACAACCTGACGAGGATAATCCTCGACAATGGCTACCCTATAAAAGTGATTAAAAGAAACATACGGGCCGTGAAAAGCCGTTGGCGGAACGGGGAATATGAAAGGAACGAAAGGCCGATGATGGATTCACAAAAGTGGATATGCCTACCTTCCTGCGAACTAACTCAAAAACTACGGCCATTATTGAGAAAATGAATATTCAGTTAGCCATGAAGGAGAAATCAACATTTTTCACAAGTCTACCGAGGCAACATGAAAGGGTAGACAAATTGGACTGTTTAGGAGTTTACTGTATATCATGCGGCGCCTGTAAACGGAAACAGGGAGAAAAATTAGCACATGAATTAAGGAATATTAGAGGCTCTGCAGGAAAAAGGATATCGAAAGATCAGAACTAGCGGAACACATCGCGCAGACTGGACACGAGATCAATTGGAAGAAAAACAGAAAGAAGAGCCCCATACGCTGACAACACAAGGAGGCGGAAGATTAGGGAGGCCATCGACATTCTTGGAAAGAAAAATCTAATGCAGAGGAGATTACTGGAAGGTAGTTAGCGATAACTTC